CGCCGGAGCTCCGGAGCAGACAGTATTCTTCTTCTTGTTCATTCTACATTTTGCGCTTCCTCGCTCTAAAAATCACCTGCAGGGAAGCATTCCATTAGACTTTAATTTGGTGACTTCAGTTTTCTTGCTTCCCCTAGGATGCCAAAGAACGCACGGCAAGCGGGAAGCGAGGGACTGATTAAGACGTACAGAAAAAAGAAAACGTAGACAGACAGGTGAGCAATGCAAAAAAAAACTTGTCTATTTTAAAATTAGTACACCGTTTAGGTCGGCCAATGTCATCACTGAATACAACAATCACCTACTTCGCAATTAAGATCGCCAGCAGCAGCATTGTCTTATTCATCCAAGCAGATCAAAGTGACACATAGCCTCATCAAAATAGTCCCAAGCAATATTCATCAAAATCGCCCCAAGCAACTTCGTCTCTTTCAGCCTGGTCACGCAAAGCATCATAAAAATCGCTCGAAGCAGCATCGTCTTCTTCAGCCTGGTCACGCAAAGCGTCATAAAGATCGCTCGAAGCAACATCGCGAGCAACTTCGTCTCTTTCAGCCTGGTCACGCAAAGCATCATAAAAATCGCTCGAAGCAACTTCGTCTCTTTCAGCCTGGTCACGCATAGCGTCATAAAGATCGCTCGAAGCAGCATCGTCTTTTTCAGCCTGGTCACGCAAAGCGTCATAAAGATCGCTCGAAGCAACATCGTCTTCTACATCCTGGACACGCATGGCGTTAAGAAGATCGACGAAGGTTGTCGCGCGTGCGGTAGCTGCCCTCACCCCCGCCCTTGGGATGCTGAGGTTAGCAGCTTTCTTCTTAAAATGCACAATGTGCGTCGGACGGAAGGAGTCGGAGTCGAACTTCACAATCACGTCCATGGTGTCCTTGTTCTTGGCCGTCGTATCGTAGCGCAGCGGGAAGCGGCCGGGAATGAGCGGCGGCTCCTGCAAGGCGAAGAGCCGGCTCTTGTTCTCAGGCACCTGGGTGATGTTGCTCACCAGGACCTCGCACAGCAGCATGCAGCCCTCCTCGCCCTGATCGCAGAAGTGGTAGGCGTACCTCGAGAATGCCGAAAAGGACACTCCTGCACCGAACCTCGTGCCTGCGCCAAGTCGGATTTTAGTCGAAATCCATTTTAAACAATGAAAGGAGGGAGGAGGGCATAGTTACATGAAGAGGCTTACCACGGTTTTGTCCGTGACGGGAGACGTCAAAATTTTCTCGTAGAATGGAGTCGACGTTTCGCTTCTTTGTGCCGTGCCATAGCTTAACAACCCTCACTTGTCCATAAGTATTTTCATACTGATCCTTCCTCTGCTTGAATTTTTGTTCAAGTTCATAATTTTGGACTTTTTCGATAGATTGAATAATGTGGTGGCTGAGACCGCTGATGAACACTGAAAAATGCGATGTCAGGAATACAAACGAGCTCACCAAAAGGACACCAGTACAGTAGAGGCGACAGACGCCAAACTTACAGTTCGAAACCGCTTGGAAATCGTCGGTTCCCGGTGTTAAATAAGTTCTCTCGACGAGTGCCATATTAGAAGACTCTAGTAAGCGCCTGAAAATTAAGCAGAAATTAACTTCTGAGCGAAGAAACCATTGAGACTCGAGGGGAATGAATACCCTTCAGGCAACGCAACGTCAACCCTAACCTAGAACAGCGGGCTTCAGAACCCCACACAAAGACGCGGCATCTCGTCCAGAATACAATTAAATAACCCTCAAGCGCGTAACAACACAGCGCAACACGGGTTAAGTAAAATCAAAAGGTGAATATAAATTGAAGAAGAAAAGAAAGGTTTGGAAGTCGCTCCTACTACCACCATGCTCCCATGCACAAAGAACGCGGCACAATAAACACTTAAGTAACGACTTTCCGAGCTTTACTCACCGTTTTCCTACGCAAGATAAGTCGAGTGATGGAGCACGGATTTCCTGGATCAGAGGTTCTGCGGACTGCAAGTGCGGTGGACTTTTGAAAGATTGTTGCACTGACCTGACCTGGCGTCACTTCACTTGGTGTCAAGGCCGGTGGCACTAGACTGAGAGGCTGGCTCTGACTGGGTGGGTGTGCTCGCTGCCGTGCCGTCCTGCCTGCCGGTCGGCTGACGGGCTCGCTGTCGCTGATGCGCCGCGCCGCGCGCCGTGCGTGGAGCACTCGGGCTGGAGGTGCAGCTCGGCGTTTTGTGTTTGTTTATGGGTGCGTCCTTTTCAGCTAACTTCCATCACGTCCATCACGTCGATCGCGGAATCCCGACCGGAACCAGTTACAAAAAATCACGCTATTTTAACGTTTAAATAGCTTTGGTGGGTATAAGCACCATCTAGAATGTTGGTAATAATTTTGTATAGCTGCTTTGAAAGTTTTCTCGCGAAGATATGGCAGACTATAGGTTATAGGTACTGGTTCCGGTCGGGATTCCTGTTTTCTTCTCCTGGAGCGGAGACCGAATAGGGTCTATTTGCGTGACGTAATTTGTGAACGGCCCCTCAGCAGTAATGTTCGTTATCACCTTTAATGTGCCCATACGATGACGCGAGGCAGGCTCGGACTGGCCCATACCTGTTTCGTTGGCCATCAGCCTCGCGAATGAGGTGAGAATGCATCAGGGGCACATCTAATGTTGCTCTAAGTTCAATTTATCAATTAAGTAGTGGAGCAATGAGCTATTTTACGAGAGTGAAGAAAATTGTCTGCTCCCGGACTAAGTGCGGTTTTATTGAAAAGGGGGGGGGGGGATCTCTCGTTCTCGTGACCCGCTCCAGGAAGGCCGACTGGCAGAGGTGAGTCTTTGCTATGACGCCGGAGCTCCGGAGCAGACAGTATTCTTCTTCTTGTTCATTCTACATTTTGCGCTTCCTCGCTCTAAAAATCACCTGCAGGGAAGCATTCCATTAGACTTTAATTTGGTGACTTCAGTTTTCTTGCTTCCCGCATTGTAGTTTAGTGCCGCCAGCGAGGGGTGCCCAACTCGAAAAAATCGTGTACACCTGATTACCAAAAAGTGGTGATTACCAAGGATTACCAGAGACTACCGAAGATTACCGAAGATTACCCATGATTACAAAGGGTTTCCGAAGATTACCACTGACAAAAGATTACCAGAGATTACGAAAGATTGCCATTGATTACCACAGATTCCCATTGATTACCACAGATTACCAGTGATTACCAAAGATTACCAGTGATTACCAAAGATTACCAGTGATTACCAGTGATTACCAAAGATTGCTAGGAATTTCCTTGCTGGATTACTTAGTGATTAATAAAGATTACCTGGTGAGTACCAACGATTACCTGATGATTACCAACGATTACCTAGTGATTACCATGGATTACCGGCGATTACAGAGGATTACCGGCGATTACCAAGGATTACCGGTGATTACCAAGGATTACC